TGAAGAAGAAGAATAAAGTAGGAGGACTCACACTACCTGACCTCAAAACCAACTACACAGCTACGGTAGTCAAAACAGCCTGGTACTGGTACAACGACAGATATACTGACCAGTGGAACAGAATTGACAACCCAGATGTAAATCCATCCACCTATGGACACCTGATCTTTGATAAGGGCCCAAAGTCCATCAAATGGGGAAAAGACAGTCTTTTTAACAAATGGTGCTGGCAAAACTGGATGGCCATCTGCAAAAAAATTAAACACGACCCATACCTCACACCATATACAAAAACTAATTCAAAATGGATCAAAGACCTAAATACAAAGCCAAGAACTATAAAGTTCATAAAAGAAAAAATAGAATCTATGCTAGAGGCCCTAATACACGGCATTAACAGGATACAAACCATAACCAATGACACACAAACTCCAGAAGATAAGCTAGATAACTGGGATCTTCTAAAAATTAAACACACTCATCAAAAGACTTCACAAAAAAGAGTAAAAAGAGAACCTACAGACTGGGAAAAAATTTTTGGACATTACAAGTCAGATAAAGGTCTGATCTCTAAAATCTACAAGGAAATCCAACACCTCTACAACAAAAAGATAACAATCCAATTAAAAAATGGGCAAAGGAAATGAACAGACACTTCACCAAAGACATTCAAATGGCCAACAGACACATGAGGAAATGCTCACGATCAGTAGCCATTAGAGAATGCAAATTGAAACCACAATGAAACACCACCTCACCCCAGCATTACTGGCACAAATAAACAAAAATGGAAATACCAAATGTTCAAGAGACTGCAGGGAGACTGGAATTCTTATGCACTGCTGGTGGGAATGCAACATGATACAACCATTTTGGAAAATGATATGGTGCTTCCTTAGAAAGCTAGAAATAGAAATACCATATGATCCAGCAATCCCACTCCTAGGAATATATCCTAGAGAAATGAGAGCTGTCACACGAAGAGAGATATGCATACCCATGTTCATTGCAGCACTGTTCACAATAGCAAAAAGATGGAAACAACCTAGGTGTCCATCAACAGATGAATGGATAAAAAAATATGGTACATACACACAATGGAGTATTATGCAACGTTAAACAACAATGATGAATCTGTGAAGCATCTCATAACATGGATCAAACTGGAGGACATTATGCTGAGTGAAAGAAGTCAATCACAAAAGGACAAATACTGTATGAGTCCCCTATTGTAAAAACTCATGAAGAAGTTTACCTACAAAAAGCAACAATCTTTCTTGGTTATGAGGGATGGGAGGGGTGCGGGGGAAATACTAAATAGACAATAGATAAGTGGTAACTTTGGTGAAGGGTAAGACAGTACACAATACTGGGGAAGCCAGCACAACTTGTACAAGGAAAGGTCATAGAAGCTCCAGAGACACATCCGAACTCCTCGAGGGACTGAATTGCTGGGTGGAGGGCTATGGGGACCATGGTCTTGGGGAACATCTAGCTCAATTGGCATAACA